AGACATGTTGGGAGTTTTTCTGTTGGGGAATGATGGCTGAGATTCAGCTGTGTTGGAGTCTACGGGAGTTTAAAAAGGACCACTCTCTGAAGCCATACTAGTTGAATGATTAAGATGGGGATGAGGGCACCTGCAAAACAAGAAACAGAGTCAGTCGAAAAGTGGACAGTTCTGCCCAGTTTTTTGAAGCTGTTTTGTTTGGGAGGTTCAGTGAGGTGTGGAAAAGTAAGGTGCAAATGGAGGAGGGGGCTCCTAGGTTCTTGTGGGTTCTAGGAGTACAAGAAGGATACGGGGGGGGGGGGGAGAAGCTGAAGATAACCACATCTGAAGATTGTGACTTTCAGGTATTTCCTTTTTCTTTGGAAGGGGTTCTCCTGTAGGAGATGGATATCTGGGGGTCTGCTGTGGTGTATGGTGTAGAAAGGAGGTGTGCTGCTATGATGGTATCATGTGTGATGTGGTTTGTGGTAAAGCAAGGAACATTCTCCAGCAGTCTTAGCATGACATACTGGAGAGTGGTAATTGAACCTTCAATGCCTTGTTTCTCTTCATGACCTTCATCAAGCCTTTGTTGTAATTTCAGGAGAATGAGCACAAGTGCTGATACCACACTCTGAAATAACAACAAAGGAATGGGAAGTTCATATGAGAAAGACCTGTAAAAAATAGAACACAGTTAGTGAGAAGGTTCTGACTGACCAGTGACTTTGTTTGGTGGAGCTGTTGGAGTTGGCTTGGGAGATGGTCTTTGGGCTGCTAAGGGTACCCTTTTTGATTTATCATGGGAAAGGGGTCAAAATTGTCCCTCTACTATTGTTTATTGGTTACTTGTGACACCCGTTACACTTTTCGGCCATTCTGGTCCCTACCGTTAACAAAGTTTGCAAAATTACCCCTAATCCTAACGTCCCTCCACTATGGCAGCTGACCCATCAATTTTATATCCATGTCAGCTGCCATGTCATCGACCCCACCAAATTAAAACCCTAACATAAACGACCCCCCACTCCTCACCTCTCCACCCTTTCTCTCATCTTCTCTCCCTCGCCTCATACCAAAATCGCCGGAAACCATGGCATTTCACCGAAAAATTTTCAGCCGGGCAGAACTAACCTCCACGGTACTGGCTCCCCTCTTTGTCTCCTTTCTCCTTCTTCATGTTCCGTCATTCAAACAGAAACCCCGTTCTCCGGCAAAAAATTCAAATCAACTCACACAAACAAAAATTGTCGATAAGATTAAAAGCCATCAAAGTATTACTATCATAGCGTTACTCAATGCAGCCATGTCAGATCTCGTTGGCAAACACCCATTTTTGGCATAAAAGATGTTTCTTCTCTTCATATCTTACTTAATTGCTCTCATGGCACCATTGAAGAATTTGTAAAGAAAGCTTGAGAATATAAATGTATTGAGATTAATTGAAGTTTAAGTGAAATTATTAGCTGGGTTTGTTTGTGATTTGAGGCTTGTTGATCTCTTAATCTTCATCGGCATCTTCACCGGAGGAGCTTCATCTGCGACTGTACGCTTTATCCAAATATTCATCTGAAAAACCTCTCACTACCACCTCTTTCCAATCCCATTCAGAAAAAATAAGATGCTATAGTCACCGCCAAAAGAGTCACTCTGATATCGGGGTCTGTTCTTTCTTTTGGTTTGTTCTTCATTTTATTCTGTTTGGTTCTTCATTGTTTTGCTATGGATGAGAATGTGAAAAAAAAATGGAGGAGATACGGTGGGGGGTTTATGTGAAGAAGGTGGGTCTGTCAATTAGTGGTGGTGTTAATGGTGGCTGGTTAGTACCGATTTGGGAGATGTATTTGAAAGGAGACTAAAATCACCATACAAAGGATTTGGAAAAGCTTGAAGAATACCTAATGGGTCTGTCATGTTCTTCAGAAGTTGTTGAATTTTATTTTATGTTACTTGAATATAATGTTGAGGCTAAAAATTGTTGATTAAATTCTGGTTTTAAAGCTATTTTGTGGTGAAATATTGAGGCTTTTGGGTGTTGAAGCTGCCGATGGAAGAAGAAATCAAAGGGGAAGAGAGGTATTGGAGGTGGTGAGGTTAATTATGTGGCATTTTTAATTGAGGGGTCTCAATGCTCTAATGGACAATTTCAATATGTGCAATTAGTTCAAAATCCCTTCAATTTTATTCGAGGATTAAATTACTTCCCATGCTGACATGACATTTTATTTGGTGGGACCTGCTGACTTGGCTGCTGATAATGGACAAAATATTAGAAGGGTCAGCTGCCACAGTGGAGGGACATTAGGGTTAGGGGTAATTTTGCAAACTTTGTTAACGGTAGGGACGAAAATGGCCGAAAAGTGTAAAATGGCCGAAAAGCAAGCAACCAATAAATAATAGTAGAGGGGCAATTTTGACCCTTTTCCCATTTATCATTGTCAAACATGGGCATTGGAATTATTTGAGGAGGATGGAACAACCATAGTTGGGTTGATGAGCTTCCTGGTCAGTTTATGCCTGAAGGCTGGGATTGCCAATTTGTCTAAGTGAATCTGACCTCTAATCTGACTGGGGAGCTCATTCAGATTTGGATAGTGGGTGATAGCTGGGAGATTGTGACTCAGTTTGGAAAGTGAGTCAGCTGGGGTATTGGCTTCTCTGTAGGCATGGGTGTAGGTAATTGTTTCACATTGATGACAGAGATGCCTGAGTTTTTGGATGGCTATGGTTAAGGTCCATGGAGGAGTAGCATCAGTTGTCAACCAGTGGATCAGAAGAGCAGAGTCAGCTTCAAGGTGGATTTTAGTGAATCCATTGTTAACGCACCAGTTGAGTCCTAGTATGGCTGCTTCAGTTTCAGCCAGATTATTGGAACCTTCTCCAAGAGGGGAGGCAATTGCATAAATAAAGTCACCATGGTCATCCCTAATCATGGCCCCTGCTCCCATTTTACCAGGATTAGTTAAGGCACTTCCATCAGAGTTAACCTTGACTGTGCCTTTGTTAGGTTTTTGCCAAATGACCTGGGTAATTTGAGTGTGAAATTGAAGGGTTTCAGAAAGAGGGTACAACATGTTTCAATCAGCGGGCCAGTCTATTGAGGGATAGTGGGCTTTGAGCATCAGGTTGATGTCAGAATTTATAGAGTACAGAACCCTGGACATTGATGATTTTTTAGTTCCATACTTGACTGCACATCTATTTTTCCAAAGGTTCCAACAAACAACAATTGGGAGGGTGTCAATCAGGAGTTTGTGAACTTCATTGTTGTCTTTGTTCCTCCACCATTTGGTCAAGAGAGTGGACAGTGGCATTTCTGCAAAGGGAAACCCAGCAGGTGAAGTGAAGATCTTTCATACAGCCTTGGGAAAGTAACCTCTACTGAAAATATGATCAACTGATTCAGCTTGAGGTCCTAAGCAACATACATATCTGTTGACTGTTGGGGGGCCAAATTTTGCAACTCTGTCATCAGTGGGTAATTTATTTCTGAGTGCCCTCCACAAGCAGAAGGACCATTCGAAAGGTATTTTCTTGTGCCAGATTTTTCTATTAATGAACAGTTTGGGTCCTGATCTCCTTACTACATTCCAAGCAGATGAACATGTGAAATTTCCAGTTGCAGTAGGTTTCCAAATTGGCTTGTCAAGCACTTGAGGGTTGTATGAGATGGGAATCTGAAGGATTTCTGGAATCATATGAGCAAGGGCTATGTTGTTGAGCTTCTGAATGTCCCAAGAACCAGAGTCCCAAAAGTGTGAGACTTGAATGTTCCCAGGCCTCCCCCCCTGTATTCTGAAACTGGCCAGATGACCTATACCTAGCCAGTTATCCCACCAAAAGGAGGAATTTCCTGAGTGTAGAGACTATTGGATATGAGTTTCAGCTTCCTTTTTGTTGGACATCATTCTCTTCCAAGCCTGAGATTGTCCAGAGGCCCATTTTTTAGAGATTGGGTGGGACCTCTGACAGTATTTTGCTTTGAGGAAAGAGCTCCAAAGGGAGTCTTTTGTTCTAAAACACCACCATTGTTTAAATTCTAGGGATTTGCAGACATCCTCCTTAGCTCTAAAACCAATTCCACCCTCATCTTGAGGGATGGCCAATTTTTTCCAAGAAGCCCAATGGTACTTGTTTTTGTTTTGATCCATCCCCCAGAAAAAGTTTGCTACCAGTTTTACAATCTGTTAAATGACAGTCTTTGGAGGGGAAACAGCAGATAGAAGGTGAATGGGAAGGGATTGGAGAACATGCTTAATGAGAGTGGCCCTTTCTCCATGCGATAACAGTTTTTGCCATGCCAGCCCCTAATTCTGCTAACCACCTTGGAAGAGATGGAGTTGAAGTGAATGATTCTTTTCCTTCCTGTGTAGAGGGGACATCCAAGGTAGGTGAGGGGTGAGTCTTTTCTAGAGAAGCCTGTGATTTGCTGGTTCCTTCTGATGGTATAAGGGAATGCAGATGGAGATGTCATGAAATGACTCTTGTTTTTATTGATCAGTTGCCCAGATGTCTGCTCATAACCCTCTAGGATGTTCATGATTTTTTGAAGTGAAGCTCTTCTCCCTGAGGTGAATATGATTATATCATCAGCAAAACTGAGATGAGTAACCTGAGGACCTCTTTTTTCCATATAGAAACCATTGAAGAATTGATCATGGGTGAGATTGTTCAGCATTCTGGAAAGAAGTTCAGCCCCTAAGATGAACAAGGCAGGTGCTAGGGGGTCCCCCTGTTTCAAACCTCTAGTGGAATGGAAGAATCCACACCTTGTGCCATTTACAATTACAGAGTACTAGTTGTTGGAAAGAGTTCTCCAAACCATATCAATTATCCTCTCATTGAAGCCAAGTCTTCTCATGATTAGACATGTGTAGGACCAAGATACTCTGTCATATGCCTTTGCCATATCCAGTTTGATCACCATATTGGCACCAACATTGGGTTTTTTGATGCCTTGAACAGTTCGTTGTGTTTTCTATTCTAGGTTCTATATTAAGGTGGTTGGTTTTGTGGTAATCTGGCTTCACATCCCTACTTCACAAGATCAAAAGGAAGTGTTGAAATGTCATCTGAGGGTCATCTACCAACAGTTCCTATCCCAGAGGATAGCACGATCTCGGTCATCCCAACTTCAGAGTCAGCTGCTGCTGAGGAAAACAGGAATCTGCGTCTTCGCATGTTGGAAATGTGGGACGCCTGGTCCAATGGTAGGGAGCCACCAAGTACAATACCTGGTCTCCCTAAGCTACTTCCCAGGGCGAGTGGAACTTCCAATGTCCCGATAAACTACCCGAACACTCCGCTTGGATATCCTACCATCTCAGCCCACTTTGCCGGAACACCTTCTGAGGTTCGCCCCCAATTGTTGATTTCAGCTGTGGCCTCCAATATATTCACTGCGCCACCTTCCTCGGCCACGGCACAACCCACTTTGCCAAGGCCAAACTTTGATCCATCATCTTTCACTTTTCAAGTACCATCATTTCCACCAGAAACAGCCCAGTTCACTACCAATTCCTACCCCCAACAGCCCCGGTATGAGTTTACCGCGGGATTAGAGAAAACTATAAAGAACCCCGAGCAGGAAGAAATCACTCCGAAGATGAGGAGCATGGAACAGAGCCTTAAGAATATACAAGGCTTAAGTGGTCAAAAGAGCGTATCCTACGCTGATTTGTGTATGTTCCCACATGTCCACCTACCCCTGGGTTTTAATACTCCCAAGTTCGAGAAGAACGATGGGCATGGGGATCCCATCGCCCACCTCAAGTGGTACTGCAATCAACTGAGAGGAGCAGGTGGAAAAGAGGAACTTCTCATGGCTTATTTTGGGGAGAGTCTAGTGGGCATTGCATCCGAGTGGTACATGGATCAGGATATATCCCGTTGGCACATTTGGGATGATCTAGCTCGGGACTTCATCAGGCAGTTTTAGTATAACATAGACATAGCTCCTGACAGGAATTCTCTGTCGAATCTCAAGAAGAAGTCATTGGAAAGTTTCCGGGAATATGCTGTTAAATGGCGCGAACAAGCGGCCAGGGTCAAGCCCCCACTGGATGAAACAGAAATGGTGAGTGTTTTTCTTCAAGCCCAAGAGGCTGACTACTTCAGAATATGACGTCTGCAACGGGGAAACCATTTGCTGAGGCCATCAAGATTGGTGAGATGGTAGAGAACGGTCTAAAAACAGGGCGCATATTGAGTCAATCTGCCATAAGAGCTACGTCCCAAGCAATTCAAAGCGGGTTCGGAGGTGTAGTGAACAGATAGAAAAAGGAAGAAGCGGTAATGGCGGCTTCAGGTCCAAGGAACCCCCGTCCACCCAGAAATTACTTCTCTCCAAGCCCCCCACGGCATTATTATCCCCACCAGGATATGGCTTATGCAATGGCCCCCCAACCGTACGTAGTGATGAACACCCAGCCATACGCTCGGCCACAACAACAGTTTAACCAAAACAGAGCTCTACCTCCTAGAAACAACCCTCCCCACCAAGCTCAGTATAATCCTCGACCTCCACAAATTAATTTCCCCTACAATGCCCGTGCTCGGGAGCCACCCAGGAGAACAAATTTCACGCCTATTGGTGAGTCATACTCTAGCCTTTTCCCTAAACTGGTCCAAATGGGTTTGCTGCAACCCGTACCCCAAACCAAGCAAAACCCAGAGTCGCCTCTTACCGACCCGGTGCTCGATGTGCCTATCATTCGGGAGCGGAAGGGCATGACACTGAAGACTGTTGGACCCTAAAAAGGGTGGTTGAGAACCTCATAGAGCAAAAATGGATAGTGCTGAAGGATGAAGAAATTCTTAATGTGACCAACAACCCATTACCGACCCACAACAACGGACCTGTTATTGGGATGATTTGCGAAGATAAGGAGTTTGATCCCGCCTTGAAAGCCATCATTGCCATCGCTGATGTCGAAAAGAAACCAAAGGCTGTTGCAAATCAAGATAAGGGGAAGAAGAAGAATGAACCCACCCCTCAAAGCGCAGAAAAGGAAGTAGAAACCAAAACTGGGGCAGTACCCCCAAAAGATGCCATTCTTTATGTTCCCCGGGGTCACAGGAAAGAACAAACAACATTGAGCCCTCCAAAAAGGTTCGAGCTGAACAGGGGACCTAAAATGTACATGCCCAAAAGAACCTATATGGTACGAGGGCCAGTAATTTCACCAAGGCTGAATGAGCCCATGGTTATTGGCCGCGCACCGCAGAGGCCCATGACAGACCCCACTGCCGTCCCATGGAATTACAATAGAACGGTAGTGACATACAAGGGAAAAGAGGTCCTAGGGGAAACAAATGAGACTAACCCAGCTGAGAAATACCTTAACTTGGAGGATTTGAACAAAGCCAAGAAGAAGCGTTTCCCACTCAAGAAGCCTGTTAGTGCCGAGGAGGCCGAAGAATTCTTCCACAAAATGAAAACTGTAGACTACGAGGTTATAGACCAACTCCGGAAGTCTCCTTCACAGGTCTCACTCTTGTCCTTACTGGTGAGCTCAACCGAGCATCAGAAAGTGTTGATAAAAACCCTCAATGAAGCTTATGTTCTGATTGAAACCACTGTTGAACAACTGGAAAGGATGGCGGAAAGATTCTTCGCAATCAACCAGATCTCATTTAGCAAGAATGATTTGCCTCCTGAAGGGGCTGCCCACAACAAAGCTCTTTATCTGACAGTTAAATGTGAGGGGTACTATGTGAAAAGGGTCATGCTGGATGGCGGATCCAAAGTTGATATCTGCCCTCTTTCAACTTTGGAAAGAATGGAGACTGGAACTGAGAGAATCATGCCTAACATTGTCTCCGTGCGTGCCTTTGATGACATCAAGAGAGACACCATAGGCGAGATCGATTTGATTTTGACTATTGGTCCTGTGGATTTCGAGGTGACGTTTCAGGTCCTAGACATGGACACTTCTTATAATTTCCTCTTGGGAAGGCCTTGGATTCACGCAGCAGGGGCCGTACCTTCCACTCTCCACCAGATGGTGAAATTTGAATATGAAGATCAGGAGATCATAATCCTCGGAGAGGACGAGCAATTAATTTATCGGGACCCGTCAGTCCCATGTCTTGAAGCAAGGGAAGGTAGTGAACATATAGTTTATCAAGCCTTCGAGGTTGTAGTCGCAGACCAATATGAAGAAGGAAGCCTGTGTCCTCAACTCTTTCTCTCAAATGCGTCAATTATGGTTGCCAAGGAAATGATCAGGCATGGATATAAACCCGGGAAGGGGCTGGGGACATCATTGCAAGGAATCACAGAACCTATTACTCTGGCTGCTAGCGAAAAGTTCTTTGGTGTGGGCTTTCAGGCCATGTCGGCTGATGAAACATGGGCAAATGAGCGAAAGAACAATGGTTGGGTCTTACCTCCGCCGATCCCGCATCTGTTTGAAACATTCGTCAAGCCCAAGTACACAGAAGAGGAAGATGAGGCCTTCACGGCCGAGGAGATTGAAGAAATATGTGGGGCTATGAGACAGATGTTGTATGAAACCCACATGGTCCAGCCGGGAGAAGGCTCAAGCACCGCTGAGGTGCTGTATATGGGGCCCAATGCCAAGTTGAAAAACTGGAAGGCTACTCCGTTCCCAGTTAGGCGGTAATCCCGGTAGTCCAGTCTTGCCACCTTTTCTACATCACGAGTTATTCCAGGGTGTAACCCGGATGTTTCTTTTAGTTTATTGTCTTTAAATTCCAAATGTAAACCTTGTTATCTTCAAAATTCAATGAAATGAATCAATATTTCATCGTTCATGAATCTCTCTCTTTCTTCTTTCTGATTTTTGTTACTTTTTCTTATTTCTTCTTTCAGTTCTAATAATACGGCTTTAAATAACATGACATGCTTGCGGACTTCATGCCCAGATCCAAACACGCTGTCTAATTGTGAAATAATGAATCAAGAATCAAAACGATGAAGAAGAGGCTTTTAGGGAAATAAATCGGGAATTGGAACAATTTGAGAATAAGCCTAAGCCAAAACCTAAATGAAACCGAGCCAGTAAATTTGGGTAGTTCAGAAGAGGTCCAAGAAACCATGATAAGCATTCACACAGATGAAAGAACTAGGGATGCACTGATCCTACTTTTGTTTGAATTCAAAGATGTGTTTGCTTAGTCCTACGATGATATGCCAGGATTAAGTGTTGATCTAGTGGTGCACAAATTGCCAACTTACCCCGATTGTCCCCCTGTCCAGCAAAAACAAAGAAAGTTCAAAACTGATATTAGTGACAAGATCAAAGAAGAGGTCACCAAACAGTTGAAAGCAGGTGTGATCCGAGTGGTCCGATACACCACCTGGTTGGCTAATGTAGTCCCAGTGCCAAAGAAAGACGGGAAAACCCGAGTGTGTGTTGACTATCGAGATCTGAACAAAGCAAGTCCCAAGGACAACTTTCCCCTGCCAAACATCCACATCTTCTTTGACAACTGTGCCAAACATGAGATACAATCTTTCGTAGATTGTTATGCTGGATATCATCAGGTCTTGATGGATGAAGAAGATGCGGAAAAGACAGCCTTCACCACACCCTAGGGCACCTATTGTTATAGGGTCATGCCTTTTCGTCTGAAGAACGCCGGGGCAACGTACATGAGAGCTATGACTACCATCTTTCATGACATGATGCACCAGGAAATCGAGGTGTATGTGGATGATGTGATCATTAAATCTAGAAAACAGGATGACCATGTCCGGGACCTGAGAAAGTTCTTTGAGCGTCTGCGCAAGTATGATTTGAAGCTAAACCCGGCTAAATGTGCATTTGGAGTCCCATCTGGGAAACTTTTGGGATTCATAGTCAGTCGGAGGGGCATTGAGATAGATCCAACGAAGATAAAGTCTATTCGGGATTTACCTCCTCCAAGAACCAAGAAAGAGGTTATGAACTTGTTGGGAAG